CCACACCCCCCAAAGCCTGCTGCTCCCCTGCCCCTGCTGCTGTGGGGCAAAGTACCTGCCGAGGGTCTGCACAGCACCCGACCCCCCGGCGCAGCCAGCTCACCCCCCGCAGCCCTACCTGCTACAGGACTGGCAACCAGTGCTCACAGGGTGGTGGGAAGAGCTTCTGCAATAGTGTTAATTAACCCATCTTAATTAGCAATTAACTGAAGACACAGTCCCCATGGTCTCTATGTATCTTTAAGTGCAGCCACAGCTGTGGGTCTCCAGCTGGGGACCTGCATCCAGGCAGGCTCCCGCTTACGCTCTCCACCCGTACAGATACGCATCCTTCTTACAGAAAAGCTGCAGCATCTCGGCGTTTGCTGCTCTAACGGGGCTCAGAGGGGCCCCTCCGGCTGACCCCGCAGGCAGCCAACCCATTCCCAACCATCCCCAGCCCCCGGCTCTCCCTCTGCACCTCACCGGAGCCTCGCGGGCAAAGGAAGTCAAGCTCTCAGGGTTTCTTTAAAATTATATATTTTATTTTTTTTTCATACATGCAGCAAATAGAATAAAGAGTATATGCCCATCTAAAAGGAGGTCTTCATGAGAATCTTTTGACAACACACAGCGGGTAGTCTAGGATGTAGAAAAGTCATCAAATACTTGCAGGTGAAATCAAATTCACAAACACAAACTGTTCAACGATAAACATTTTCTTTTTTTTTTTTTTTCTTTTCCTTGTTTTAATTGCCACTTTGAACGTGATCAGAAATAAACAGCTCGGGTGACACTCCCGTGCATGGAGCAAGCCGCTTGTTGCTTCTGCTGCTGTTGCAGGCTCAGTGGCTCACCTGCTTCTGCAAAAGCAGAGAAGCTGCAGCACTTGGTAGCACGAGCTACTTCCACGCCCCCGATGGAAGTTCCACCTTTGGAACAGCTGGATGCCTCCACTCTGCGCTAGAAACACCCCCCAGTGCTCCACCTGACTTTGGGATTGAGTATCATCACGGCGCCTGCTGCCCAGAGCGCTCGCTCACCTCCCCACCTCCGAGGCACCCTACATGGGTTGGCCACGATGCCAACTTGGTTTATTAACAGGATTAAACGGACCGAAAACTCTCTTGGTGATGGCTCTTACCGAGGATGCTCGGCTGTCCGGCCAGGGCAGACAAGAGCAGCAGCAGGATTGCCGTGAGCAAATGGCAGGGCACTGGGGCAGCGCCCCAGCACGCACTGGCAGGAGAGCAGCTACGTTTGCCCCGTGCAGCAGCACTGATGGGTCAGGACTGCCTGTACCCCCAACAGCCGTTGGCGACTGCAGGCGGGGCGGATCAGGGTTTCCAATCCCCCCTCGCCTGCTCCTCAGCAGCACCCGAACTGCCAGGACCTCAGGCAGAGCCCACACCGCCAGCCCTGGTCCTGCCCCTTACTCCAGGCAGGTCTCTCCTCCATCCCCTTCGCTCTCCCGCTGTCCCCGTGTGCCATGCAAGCTCTCCGGCAGCGCTTCGCCACTGCGGGCACCCGGCACCGCTCCCCAGCTCCAGCTGGGCTGCACGTCACGCCGGGAATGAAGAAGCAGGCACGGCCCTCTCGACTTCTCTTTGGCTGAATGTCCGAGTCAAAGACTAGGGCACATCCAGGGAGCAGCAGAATTCGCAGCCCTCACAACCCCGCGGACAGGAATGGGAATCTGCCCCTGCACGGAGGTATCCTGGCGTATTTCCAAATGCCAGCACTGGGAAAGAAATCCTTCGCCAGTGGGTAAAGCACAAGCAGTTATTTCTTCGCCCCCAGGAGCCCCAGGCCCCTTGCCCCGTGCCTTCTTCCTGCAGTGCGTGGTCTCGGTGGCAAAGCCCACGCTGCTGCTCATCCCGGCTGGGAGCAGGAGCCGTGCAGGTTCTGGTGCCTGGAGACGACCAGCAGCACAGGGGCCAACGCAGCCCCTGGGCAGGGGTGTCTAATGCACCCTGCCCCCTGGGGAACCACGTCAGGAGCCTGAACTCCACTTACCTGCAGCATTCAGGTGTAATCCAGCCTGGGAGAGAGTCAGGACTTGGCACCCTTCACGAGGGGTGGCTGTCCTGCCTCCTCGGTCCCTCCTCTGCTCTCCCCTGGGGAGGTGCGGTGCTCTGGCTCCCACCCTGGCACTGCTGGACCCCAGTGCCAGTCCCACCGCCGCACGGGACCCTGAAGTGCAGGCAAGCGGTCAGGGTGCACCCCACCAGCCTTGGGGGGTTCTCTCCCCTGTAGCTGGAGGCTGAGATGCCTCCTCCGCCTCCCCGAGCACCCTTGTCCTGCCTCACCCGCTGCTGACTCCCACTGTCCCCTTGTCCCCCACTGCACTGCGCTCAGGGATCGTTGCACCGGGCTTTGTCCGTGCACTGGGGCACCCAGGGACTAAGGGGCTCTCCTGAAGCCTCTCAGCTCTGAAGCACTGCCTTCCCTATCCTCCAGTGAAGATTAAATCATCAAATTACAGCCAGCAGTGAGTCAACCACTGTCACTCTGCCCTTCCTTGGAAGAGTTTGTATAAATCTCAACGTCTGTGCAGGGACGGGCCTATCCCGTTTTGCATTTCTCCACGGAAGAAACAGGTCATCTGGAAATAAACCTTGAAATTAGAGTTTGGCAAGCAGCAGAATGGACAACGTCAGAAACGCTCAAGGTATGAGGACGTAGCCTTTGCTAAGCTCTCCCTGGAGTGGGGCTCTTAACCCTGCACATCCCAAACCTGCCCAGTGGCACGGCTGGTCCAGCACTGCGCCCCATCCGAGGCTGCCCGGCTCGCTGGGTGGGTCAGCAAGGCTTGCTCCATGCAGAAGTGTCACCCCAACATGTACACACAAGTCCCAAACAGAAAAGACGTTCCCCCCACCCCCCAGCCCCTGCGTCCAGCCGTGGCCCCGGGGTGCCACGGGAGACCTTGCAGCAGCATCCTGGACAGAACCCCGGGAGCGACACGGCATGAAAAACACCCACCACTGAAGTAATACTAATTCTGCAGCAAGGATGGAAAGTCACAGTCACATACATGCTCTGAACATCAGCTGTGGTCTGCAGAGGATGGCGAGACGTCTCCTGAAACGCGCCGGAGCTACGAGAACCCTCACCAGAAACAGCCCACGCTCAAGGCTTCCCCGGGCTTCAGCTGATGCAGAGCGTCTCGTAAACCCTCTCGGCCATCTGGCACAATTTGCAGTTTTTCTGGGTTTGGTTTTGTTTCCTCCAGCCCAGGTCAGTACCTGAGACCACGGGCTCAGGGCTCACCCCCCAAAACATACAGGGCTCTGCCTGCCCGCAGCGCAGGAACGGGACGAGGACACCCAGCTGCCCGCTCCCTGGCAGGGGGATGTCAGCTTTGGCTTCTAGCAGCCTTTTTTTTTTTAAGGAATCATTAAAAGAAGAAAAAAATTTCAAAAGGTAGAGATTGATGTTTATAAAAGATCTACAAACCAGAATTTCCTTTATCGGATTCCTCGTGATTCATAAAATTCCACCCCCATTTCCCCTATCGGCATGGAGTGATGTGTATTTACATTAGATCTGGTAGCGGCTCAGAAAATATACATATGGGGCCTTTTTTTCCTGCAAACCAACCGATCTGGTGTGTAATCAGAGAGGGCTAATGGCCAGTGACAAAGGATGCTCAGCACCCAGGGCTCACCCCGCTGTGAGCGAGAGTGGCCACCCGGCCACCCCCAGACAGCCCCTGCCTGCCCCCGCCCTCCCGCGCGTCACGGCTCTGCCTGACAAACAGCCGCTGGAGTTGTCTGATTCTGAATTTTTGAAATGATGCAGAAGGTCCTGGATTACTGAATAAAGCCCCCAGGAATTTTGGCTGCCATCAGGTAAACCAAGATGCCCGTAAAATTCATGGGGTTGGAGCCTGTAAGGTAATAGCAGGGGGTGTAAAGTAGAAAAGTTACCGTTAGAAATAGCCCTCTGCCTGACAAACAGCCGCTGGAGTTGTCTGATTCTGAATTTTTGAAATGATGCAGAAGGTCCTGGATTACTGAATAAAGCCCCCAGGAATTTTGGCTGCCATCAGGTAAACCAAGATGCCCGTAAAATTCATGGGGTTGGAGCCTGTAAGGTAATAGCAGGGGGTGTAAAGTAGAAAAGTTACCGTTAGAAATAGCCCTCAGTACAGCCCTTTTGCAGCGGGCGTGTTCTCAGTTGGTAAATTGTAAACCACGAATATAAATGTGTTTTGGTGGAGTATTAATATCCTTTACAGAGCTGTTAAATTTCGACAGTGTCTGTGAAAAAACAGGAGTCAAGATTTATGAGAGCGCTGACAGAGCGTATCAAAACTGCAAACTGTCCCAGATGTTTTTAAAAAAAAAAAATCCCACCTTTCACTTAGAAAAAGATTTGCTCTGATTTACAAGATCCGGCATGGAATTTGCTTGGAGTCTTAATGCCTGAGTGTAGGAAAGGCCGTGCGGCGAGGCGCAGGCTGGCGGGAGCAAGGGAGGAAGACGGCTTCGGTGAGCCAGGCTGACGGTATATACAGCGCCTTTAAAAATATACGTCTGTAAGCAGACTTTTCCACACTGACCAAATGAACCCATGTCTTGAACAAAAGGCTCCTCTAAGACAAGCTCACAGTCATCGCAAGCTTCAGCACAACGGTTTAAGATATCAACCATGCTTAGCATTCAACAGAAACGGTTTGTGGGGAGCTAGGGTCACTGGAATCTCAGCATCCCGTTTCAAAAATTACAGAGACTGTAGCAATTTGGTGTATTTCTGTTTAAAAACTCTATTAGTCACCACCAACTATAGTTCCTAGAAGTATTACTGACTGTTAACTCGAACCCCAAACATCTCCAGCGAGGGAAACCAAGCTAGCGAGTGACACAGACATAGAAAGGCCTCCTAAAACAAGCGGTCGGCGTGTTTCGCATGAGGGGATGTATGTCTGCACTGCTAATCCCGGAAGACTAGTGTCGGTATGTACAAGGCGATCTGGAGTTGGGACTGCGAGGAGAGGGAGGGCGGCAGCGCCGCGACTACACGTTAATGACAAACTCGGGGTTAGTGTAGGAGAATCCAGCAAACTCGTTCTGGTCCAAGTTCATGATGAAGAGTTTGTCCGTGGGTGTGAGCTCCACCGGCTGCCGGGTGAACTCTTTGTCGAAGTTGGAAGTGTCGCGTTTGTCCTTCTGTTAAACGGAAAGCACAGAGTTAAAGGCGGTAAAGGGGGAGCGCGAGCGAGCAGCGGCAGCACCCAAGGGTGCGGGGCCGGGAGAGCTCCGCCGTCCCCCCGGGGAGCTGTGGTGTCCCTGGGCTTCGCTCCCAGCACTCGGGATCTCCGCACCGGTTTCCGAAGCCACCGAGGAACACGCTCCGACAGGCAGCGGCAGCCCTGTAAAATAGAAGCAACCCCACGCCGGGGGCAGGAATGGAAAACCACATTTAACACACTCGAACACACAAGAGAGAGTGAAGGGACGCGGTGAGAGCACGGGATGTCGTGGAGGGCTGCGGTGCTCCCACGCCGAGCATCCCTCCCCTCCTGGCCGCTGCGAGAGAGAGCAACGGCGCAGTTTCTCAGCACGCAAAGCCGTCACCGCAAACGCAGCGTCAACGACACGCGGGAGGAAGGAGCCTGGGGAAGCAACACACCTCGAAATGGAAGCGAAGAGTCAATACGACTTCAAAGTTTGCACAGACTAATCTGCTGTAAGAGCGCCTTTTGCTTTAAGCTTGACTTCTTTTTAATTAACGCTATGATATGGTATTGACCAACACAGCGTTTCATCGGTTTGAGGATGTGACAGCTCCAGGGCTCTCTACAGAAAACACGCAGTAGTTCAAAACCTGAAAGAAAGAAAAACCCACAAACGCAACCTCTTATCAGTTTCCCAAGAACAACTTTTCAGCTATACTCAAGGCAAAAAAGAATGAAAAATAATGTCGTCATCTCGGTCAGCGCCGTGACCTGCTGTCGGCCCCGCAGAGCCCACCGGTCGGGAATGCTGGACCATAAATGGGGGCGCGTCAGAGCTCGCCCAGTTAAGGTACGTTCTGGCTGCAGGAGGTTACGGTGCCTTGGCGGAACGGGAAACCGGAGCACCCAGGATACAGCGTAAGCACCCAGGATCCTTCACCAGTGAAGAGGGATGCCCCGCTCCCTCGGCTGGGAACCTGCACTGCTTCGTCTCGCCCATGGAGCGAGGAGGGAGAGATGACTTTCCCCATCCCGCCACTGTGGCATCCCCGGCTGTGGCTGCGCACAGGACGGGACAGCACTGGGATGCTGCCCGGGGGCACGGGCGGGTGGGAGAAGCGCAGCACCGCCGGGGCCCGACAAGCCTCACCGCGCTCTTCACCGCCTGCTTGGGTTTAACTGGCAGGGACAGCCCCCGGTGCCCTGACTCCGTGCTGGAGGTGACCTTCCCCCGGCCTGACACTGGCAGGACCCTGTCACAAATTTGGCGTCCTGCAGAAACCTGCAAAACGGTCTTTTCTGGAGGTTTTCCCAGACTCTGCCATTGACCTGAGGTCCCCGCAGCGCCGGGAGCTTGCCTGCGCTCTGCTACAATGGGAGGTTTCCAGCTCTGACTTGTCACTTGGGCCCTGAGGGGGGACAGCGGGGGCCCCAACACCCTCCTGCCTGTGCTCCATCACTGGCTGGGCACTGGACGGACCACGCTGGGTGCTCTGTGCCCACCGCGCTCCCTCCCACCGCGGCCATCCTCCCCGCTGCTCTCTGACGACGCACCCGGCGGGCCATACGCTGGGTCCTCACTGCAGCATCTCCCGTCCCGCCGGCTGCTGGTGTCCAGGGATGTTGGGGCAGAGCCATCGGCATCTTCCAAGCAGGAGCATGGTCAGAATACGGCCGAGAGCCAGGACCTCTCTGCTCTCCTCTCGCCAGCCCAGCCAGGCCAGGAGCACAACTGCAGCTGGATCGAGCCCCTGGAGAGGAGCCCCAAGGCCAGCAGTGGCCCAGGACCTCCATGGCTGTTTGGAGACTCCCCTCGCCGCAGGAGGCATCCCGCTGGGACAGCTTCAGCCTTGGGGAGGGAGACCAGAGGGAAAAGAGTGCCAAGGACAGCTGAGAGGAGACGAGGTGCGAAGATAAATGGGGCTGGAACTGAAGAAAGAGAGAAAGGCCAGGAAAAGAGCAAGGATGTGGTGTGCCATCAAGGAAGCGAGGCTTGGAATGCGCAGCCGTGCCCAGGGCACCGGAGTCCCAACGAGCCGGTGCCTGCAGCTCCCAGCCTGTCCCCAAGCAGGAGCTGGTCTTTGCCTTCGCTTTCAGACAGGTGACACTCGGGAGCCAGCACAGTCCCTGCCGGACTCCCCTCCCTCACGCAGAGAAGGAAGAGGAGGTAGATTTGGAGGCACAGAGCAGGAGCGGGGAAGGGCAGACGGGGTGAAGGAGCTGACTTCAGGTGCAGAGTTCAGTCAAGCAAAGGGTGAAGCGGTTGAAATGCAAGTGTGAGCCCACCTTGATGGCAGGCAGTGTCCTCCCGGAATAAGAGGGGCTGGCGTGGAGCTGCAGAAGAGCAGAGGCACTGCCCTGCGCCGTTTCGAAGCGGTTGCACAGAGGTTCTTCTCTTGCAGCCCCTTCAGGTGCAGATGGAAGGCGCTGACGCTGGCTCCAGGCTCCTGCCCTGCTCTCGGCGCGATGCTGAGCCGATCAAAGGGTTCCTGAAGGCCACATCCACCCCAACCAAAAGTGTGCCAAGACAACATCATCCTACTGAGCCAGGAGCTTCTCCCAAGCAAAATGCAAGGGGGAATGAAACGTCCACATTTGCTGCCAGTGCAAATTGCCACTGCAGTCCCCAGCCCATCAGTGTGGCCTCTGCTGATGGTACCAGAGAGGACGAGTGCTCAGCCAGGGAGCCCTCAGGTGAGCAAAAACCTCCTGCTGCTTTTTGGCAGCAGAAAGCCCTGGCAAAGGCTGTGATGTGCCTGAGAGGGGGCTCAGAGCAGCCCATCTCCCCCTGCACAGTACCCTCTGGCAGCTTCCCACCCCAGGAAAGCTCGTCAGGAAAGCCCAGCACCGTGAGGGCCCAGCCAGGTGCACAGCAAAGTGGGGCGCACTGATTTCTTACCTTGAATTTTGTCTGAAATCGGTGGCAATTTGGCCTCTGTCAAGGATGATGAATAGCCTGGGAGCAGGCAGGGAACGGCTACGTGGATCTGGTAAACAGAGAGAGGGGAAGGCAGGGGAAATTCAAGGCTGAAAATGCCTCCAGGAAGGGGCGAATTGACTCTGGGAGGTGATGAGGAGCATGGGGGTGACGGCGTGGCACAGGCACGCAGGGTCCCGCATGCCTGGCCCAGAACAGCATTTGTGCCTGGACCACAGGGCGGGAACCCTGACCACCGCCACCTCCAAGCCCCTTCCCTGCGGCAGAGCTGCGGGGCTGGAGGATCCTGGGGAACAGCTGCCGCCGGTGCCATCGGTGCTGCCGTTCGGTGCCTTTCGAGCAATCCTGCAGAGTTCGGAACCGCAGCGATCCGGCAGAAACGGATTTCCAAAGGCAGAAGGGAAATTCTGCACACGCTCGGGAGGAGGGAGGTTAACAGAACCTGTAAATCCCTCTTTAGCTGAAGCTGCCGATCGCTCTGAACAACCGCTCCTCTGAGAGCGCGGGGCAGGGTGAGTCACCGACACAGCGATGCCGACAGCCTCGCCTCTGCAGTCTCCAGAAATCCGAAGCGCATACCGCAGTCGTCTCAATCCATGGGATTTAAAGAGCTCTGCTCGCCTGGGTTTGACACCCCAAACCATCCTTCCTCCGAGGGACACCGGGGAGAATCTCCTTTCCCTCTCCATGGCGGAGTGGCACAAGCTGGCGCAGGGGACACGCAGGAATTTGCTCTCTGGTTGGAAGGTGCTCCCAGTATGTCACACCTCGGTCTGGGGACAGAGGATGAGCCATGGCTCTGGCGGCGGCGCGGGAGGCTGCGTTGCGATGTGGCTGCTTCCTGCACCCCTTGGGCAGCTCTGGGGACCCACCGTGCCCAGGAGTCAGCGCCCCCGGGGCAGCCAGGGCAGCTTCCGGCCAGTGGTGATGCCTCCTGACATCTCTGAGCCCAGAACTGTGGAAATTCGTTACAGCCAAACACATGCAGGTTTCTTTGACATTATCTCTCACTTTTTATTTTATAATCAGTATTGGAAAAAAAATAAAATTGGCACATGACAACTTAAAGCAGATTGATACAGTGACAGCCCAGGAACATCCGCAGAACAGCATAAAAGGAAGCTGCGTGATTGTTATTGTTCCAAGAGAAATTCATTCATCCTTCCTGAAACTTTCTCTTTGATGCCAGAAACAAAACTTGGGCCATTTAAATATCCAGCAGCGTTTTTTAAAAGTAGGACTATTAGTGGAAACAAGGTTCTTTACAAGCTTCATCTCAGAATTCACAATACTGTTTAGAGTTAAATAGCATCCCGTTTGTGTTAACTCCATTTTTTGGACACATTTAAAGCGCAGGTAACAAACTCCATCAATTGCTTTGGCGTTTGGCTAAAAGAAGCAGTTTTGCTACGAGAACCGATGTTGCGTGGTATTTACTAGGGCGACCATGGGTTCGAAAGCACCTGCAATGGCTCTTTCAGGTTCCCCGTTTACAACTGGATTCCATTCTGTTTGGTTTAAAAAAACGCTACATAGAAACTGCACAATCAGGAGAAATCTTGGCAGACCCCAGACCTGGCTTCCCCAATAATTTATCAGCGCTGCGGAAGACCCGGCACACAGAACTGTGCCCGCCCCAGGTCACGGTCGTACGTGGCTGCGGCAGGAAGGGGTCCTGCGGTGGGTTTCAGCAAACAGCAGGAACGAACCGCAAAAACAGCCAGAATTGGCATTTCAGCTCCCTGGAGCAACACGCTTCGTTAAAAACACGACCGGCCACTAAGGCTACGAGGGCCAAATATTAAATTTTCATGATTACATTAAAAACCTAGAA